AACAGACCATTCCATGTTATTCATGAAAATCATTTCACAGAGATGAGCGGGCAGATGGTAGCAATGCTGCTGACTTAACGCACAACTCGACTTGGATTCTTACTTCTTTTGTTTCTTAATATTTTCATCTAGACTATAAACTTTTAAACACTTTGCATCCTAAAATACTTAGCTCTTTGTGACTGGCTTTACAGTTTAGTGATGAAATGAGGCGGCAATGATGATGGGATGTACATTACACTACACGAACAACCCGACTTACACTACAATGCTGCCGCTCGCACACTGCGGGCCTAGTGCTACTGCGGCTCTGACAGGGGTCTGACTACAAACCACCACCACCACACGAAAAGCATATGAGATTTAAAGACAGAACTTCAGGAGACTTAGAGGAGCAAAGCAAAAGTTCAGAATTCATCAGAAGGTCTCAATATTTCCATGAATCTTTGTAATGAAGTCCTTCTTTCGATTTGATTTTTGAAAGGATGAAGTGAAACTTTCGTTATTTGCAGACGATATGATAGTGTACATAAGCGACCCCAAAAACTCTACCAAAGAACTCCTACAGCTGATAAACACCTTTAGTAACGTGGCAGGATACAAGATCAACTCCAAAAAATCAGTGGCACTCCTATACACAAAGGATAAAGAAACGGAGAGGGAAATCAGAGAAACATCACCTTTCACGATAGCCACAAACACCATAAAATATCTTGGGGTTACTCTAACCAAGGATGTGAAAGACCTATTTGACAAGAACTTTAAGCCTTTGAAAAGAGAAATTGAGGAGGATACCAGAAAATGGAAAGACCTCCCCTGCTCTTGGATTGGGAGAATCAACATAGTAAAAATGGCAATTCTACCAAAAGCAATCTACAGATTCAATGCAATCCCCATCAAAATCCCATCAAACTTCTTCACAGACCTTGAGAGAACAATAATCAAGTTTATATGGAAAAACAAAAAACCCAGGATAGCCAAAACAATCTTATACAATAAAGGAACTTCTGGAGGCATTACTATCCCTGACTTCAAACTCTATTACAGAGCTACAGTATTGAAAACAGCTTGGTATTGGCATAAGAACAGAGAAGTCGACCTATGGAATCGAATAGAAGACCCAGATACTAACCCTCAAACCTACGAACACCTAATTTTTGACAAGGGAGCTAAAGGTATACAATGGAAGAAGGAAAGCGTCTTTAACAAATGGTGCTGGCATAACTGGATGTCAACCTGTAGAAGAATGAAAATAGATCCATATCTATCACCATGCACAAAACCTTTTCATTTAAAAGCACATGATCAACTCAATAAAAAAGCACAACTGAGATACATTTTTTTAAAAAAAATCAGAGTTTTTCAAACTACTTTTTAAAACTGTAATGCAAAGTTAAGGAACACTTCCTCACCATTTAACACAAAATGTATCTGTTTGTGCTAGCCTGTGAATATATACCCATTGTCTTACATAGGTATGTGTGTATCAAGAGCACGCTTGTAAAATGGCAATTACTCATAGTATTTTAATAGCACATCAAAATACTCTGGTATCTTCTGCACCATTCCATTTCATTTTGGGGACATGCTGGCTACAACACAAGAGTACAAAATTCCAAAACAATAAAATGATGGATTTTTTAAGAAATGGAAGTGCTTATTAGTGATTTGATCATCAAACACTGTATACATGTGCCAAATTATCAGAATGTACCCCATAAACATGTACAAATATGTCCCAACAAACATAAAGCCAAAGTAAATGCTATCTCTGAGATATTAAACTGATTTTCGAATCAACTGAGCTGACCCGACTGGAACTCGGTGACTTTGATCCTCTCTCCAAGACAACTGTTGGATTATTTTAAAATAATTCACTTGGTAGCAGGGTAAGAACAAATCTGTTTTTCTTTCCTTGCTAGAAACTAGAGCAAAGCTATGACTGAACTAGAAGAACAGGCATGAAGCTCTTAGTGTGGTGGCAGCCACGTCACCGGCTTTAATGCTGTGCACCACACGGCCCAGTGACCTGCACAGTCAGGTTCTGCAGCTCTTTGACCTGCATTGGTGCTTTCACAGGTGAAGTAAAGAACCACTAGCCACATCCTAATTCCAAAGGATTTTCAAATCTTCATTAGGAATCTCTTACAACTGTCAAATACAGTAGATTCTAAAACAGTTTCTTTTTGTGTTTTTTTTTCAATGACGTACTTTCAGGTACAATATATTAAAAACGTAAGAGCCTGGGAATTAGATTTTTTTTAACTCTACAACATAATGTAAACTAATTAGCATTCATCAGTAAAAAAAAAATACTAAGTGCTTATTTTTAGGTCCTTGGACTAAGGTAACAGAATTATCTCAAAAGTATTTTCTAATTTGAGCTAAGGATCTGATGTAATTCAATTACAATTTCACAACAGAAAAATATTTGGTAATACTGTTTTATGTTATATGATATTTACCAGGTTACAATATTTCTCATATTAAATTACCTATGGTTTTTACAAAAATATTAAGTTTTAAATACTAAGCATACGCGTCATGATTACAGTTGCTTGTTGTTGCCTGATTTGATTATGCGCTAATAAGACTCATGGAGAAGGATTCTATCGCCCTCTTGTGGTCATTTTCATGTACTGTTTCCTCCAGAGATTCTTACTTGAACTACCATAACCATTGTCTATGTTTTCTATCTGCACTTCAGTTTCGACCTCAGGAATTTAGTGCTTTTTCTTTTATAAGGCAACGTCCTGTCACCTTCCAATTAGACAAAGTCATGTCTTTCTTAAAATTGCTTTTGACATTAAATGCACATATATAGTAGCTACAGTGAGTCCCTGTCATCAGACAAGGTCTGAAATAAATGGAAATAGCACAGTATGGCTCTGCTTTATCACATTTTCCTCCCAAAGGAACAGGTTCTACCATCTCCATGGCCCACAAGTATCAGCAGCCAACATTAGCCTGAGCATTTTGTTTTTAGAAACAATACAGCAGTCTAACTTCTTTTAAAGAAGTCTGTATCACATGCAAGCGCCTATCCTCTTTCCATCACAACCCAGATACAGCCAGCTCTCCGTCCTGAAGTTCCGATATTGGCAAGTTCAGCCAACAATGGATAGAAAATGTCTGTGGAGAAAAAGAAGCATGTACTAACCATCTACACCATATTTCCTAAACAATACAGTGCGGCAGTGTTAACGCATTACTCACACTACATTAAGTAGAGTAGGTAATTGGGGGCTCACTGAGTTTCAAGGGCTGAAAGCATGAACATGGTGGAGGACTGCTTACTGCACTACGGCCAACTTAATTAGTGGCTACAGCACTAACAACTATGGATAGTGTGCCCATCCACAGCAACTCACTAAGTGTGACCAGCTTCCCAGGAAGGGGTAGGTGGGGCCTCATGAGCCTCCTTCCACCAGTCCAGAATAGGGAGGGGCCCAATCTCGTGTCAGTCTTGTGCATGTAACTCTGAAACTACTCTTGATTAATGGGAAAAGCAGGGAAGACATTAAAGATCTGGAACAGGTAAGGAGTTTCGGAATAGGACTCTGGCTGCTTAGAAACTAAGGCCAACAATTGACAAATGGAATTCTGTGAAATTAAAAGGCTTTTTTACATTAAAGGAAATGGTCAATCAAGTAAAGGGGCCCCTACAGAACAAGAAGACACTTTCAGGGGGATAAATCTAATAGAAGGCCGATATCTAGGGCAGACAAAGAACTAAAAAAAACTAAACATCAATTAAAGAAGTAACCCATCCTCCAAATTGGCATTCGAACTGAAAAGAGTTCTTTGCCAGAAGAAATACAAATGGCTAACAGGGTGTTCAACATCTTTGGCCATCAGGGAATGCAAATGTTTGTATCTTCTCCACAGAATCAGCAGCATGTTACAAAGTACATAAGTGGTAACACAATGGTGAGGGTCTGAGACATAGCAACAGCTCTCATGGCAAAAGAGAAAAAATGCTTGCTAGAAAAAATAGTAGAACGGACAGCCAGCTCCTATTAGTTACTGTGAGAGTTAGGAGTGGGAGCCAAAGTTCACAATATGCCGCTGCTGATTGAATGGATGTGCCATTCCCCAAGGTAGGACATCACACCTTCAGACACACTGCATTTGAAATGTTATCATAGCACAGCAAACATGTCAATGGTCTTAGGATCCTGGAGATCATCAGATGAAGATTGTAAATAATGGTCAGGTAGTAAAAAGAACTTATGTGACACCATTATCCAGGAGAAGGGAAAAACCAAGAAGGTGTGAAGCTGAATTGGGGCTGGCAACGTTTCTGTGTAGTTTCACCCTTCATTTAACAGAAGGAGAGAGAGAGAGAGAGAGAGAGAGAGAGAGAGAGAGAGAGAGAGAGAGAGACTTGCTGAGCAGGCCAGGTGGGCAGACTGGCAGGTGTCAGGGACCTTTCTGTTTCAGTTCCCTGATACTGGCATTACAAGCACACACAACTATGCAAGTTTTGTCTACATGAGTTCTGGATCAGGTCTTCAGGCGGATGCGGTAAGGACCTGAGTAAGTTACCTCCTTACTCCTAATAGAGCTACTTCTGCGATATAACCATAAAGGCTGCTTATGTTGGAGAAACAGTAAGTGCTTTAGACTTCCTGCATTTTATGTATCAGAAGACCAAGGGTCAGAGAGGTGGGCGATTTCAGAATTCTGACTGAGAACTGAGCTTTCCTCACTGAGTCTAAGGTGCTGGGTGCTAAGTATGTAATTGCCCCATTTTTAGTGTTTTGTCTTTGTGCTCTCTATACTTCTCCAGAACAAGCAAAGGGCAACTGTAGGAGGCACAGAGTATGACAGCGAGGCACTCTGAAGAGCAAAGCAACCAATGACTTTCTTTATAGTTCTTCTAAACCTTGCATGGTTGAGAATGGTTTTCACTAGGAAAGTCTGTTGTACATGCTAGACCACATTTTCATAATTTCAAAGAAAAGCCATAAGTAAGACTTTTTTTTTTTTTTGAATACCTGCTTGGTTTGAACGCTGCCAGCTTGGTGACTTGACAGCGCTGGTGGATCCTACAGGCTTGAAGGCAGCCGCCGTCTTGAGGCCAGCCACGTCCGGCCTGCTTGAACCTGGGCTCTCTAGGCTCCCAGACTTGCTCAGAGGTGAAGCTCCGGGTGCCGCTGACTGCTGAGAAGGCTCCGGAGTGCTACTGTAGGGAAGGGAAGGACACAGCTGTGGTGAGGGGCAACAATCTAATTTAGCAACGACTCTTTTTTTTTTTTCCAGATTTACTAGAGCTTTAAGAAAAACAAAATACAGATGGGTTTTCATTTTTAAAAAAGAGAAAATTCACCCTGAAAGTGAAGGGAACACACGTGATGATAAAGTGGAGAGGGGACACTGGCAGTGGGAAGTGTCAGTGGGGAGACAGAAAAGAGCAGAGAGGGAAACCGACAAAAGCCACGGCTAAATGAAGATATGACAAGGAATCCCAGTACTTTACATGCAACTAACACAAAAATAATTTCCTTGTCAAGAAGGAAAAGAAGCAGGTAACATTTGTCCTGAATGTTGGAAATTTTTTAACAAGTATACAACAAGAAATTGTACTACTGAAAATTATATAAGCAATCCTTGCAGTAGTAGATTCCCCTCTATTCCTATCAACACCTTAGTTCAGAGGATCATATAGTTTTTATTACCAAACCATTTGATATTTATAATCATACATGTATATTCAGAGTAATAATTTAAAGAGCCCAAAACTATAAAATCCAAGCTTTAGAATCACACAGTAACGTCAAAGTGGTTATTTTTCTAGACTGTGGCATATAATAATAGCAATAAAAATAATAATAAACTTCCTATTTTCTTATACATGACTATTTTTATACATTATACGTTTTAAGACAGACAGCTTAAATAATACTATGCACAGACATTTAATTTTTTTCAATAACTGAAATAAACAGCTAGAGGAAGAGATTACCAAAAATAAGATTCTTTATAAATGACTTCAGTAAAATACATTACACAATGTATGATTACTTCAGTTACATTTCAGATTCACTGCTCACTCCATTATCACATGACTGAGAGTACCTACTTCCCTAAAGCCTCTTGAACCTCAGTTAACTTTTAGCATGAGAGATATGTGACTGCCTAGCCTAGCAGATGATGGAAACACTGAAGTGGGCATGGTCATTAACAGAGTGGAGAGCTGAGTTACAATTCAGCATGTTGGTCAAAGTCTGTAAGACTCAGCTATAATTTATATGCCTACATCAGCCCTCCTGCTGCTGTGTTACAGAAACTATGGACTCTGGATAGTCTTATTCTCTGTACTACATTTACTTCTTCCCCAGCCAGATTTGTACAATAGGTACCCCTCTCCACCTTCTTTAGCAAGCACCCAAATTCTACATCTAGTTAACAGAAGGAATAATATCCACCTAGCACTGGGCTCTATGGCAAGTGGCTATAATATAGTATTTTATATTTAACCATTCAAACTTCTAGAAGAAGTACTACAGCTACAGTCATGTGATAAAAGTCAGGATTCTACTACAGTTCAAACATTCATAACTTCACACCAAACATCAAATGTGTTGGTAAAAGATATCACAAAGGTGAGTTGATAAACAAACAAAATAGCATGCATGTACATTAAAATGTGTTACACTGAAATTGCAGCTAACTCAAATTGGATAAACAGTTCCACGATTTTCTCATACGGCCTGTTACCATAGCTAATAGGTTATTAGAGGAAGCAAACCTCCACACGCCATGCGCCATGTTCCTTCCCATAGTACCTGCTTTTCTTAACATGGATAGAGCCACTTGACGTTTTGGAGGACTGAAGACAGGAAAAAGCTAGAGGCTTGGGAACAGTGCTGATGCAAAGTGCATTCATTAGGGACTGGGAGTTCTCAGGGTCGGAGAGCCTGGCAAGCATTCAAAGAAGGACTTCAGAGAAAACAGGCAGTATCCGCAGAAGAAAGTGGTTTTTCACTTTATGACCTGAAATATTTCCTTTAAGATTATGTGAGAGAAAGATGGGGAGGAGGAAGAGGAGAGAAAGAAAATGCAAAGCAGTGGAGAAGGATGAATAGAAACATTATGAATTCATTATATTATTTTACTCGTTGATACAAAATTGATGAAATTTGGCTGGCATGGTGGTGGCTCACACCTTTAATCCCAGTACTTAAGAGGTAGAGTCAAATGGATCTCTGTGAGTTTGAGGCCATCTGGTAGACATAGTTGAGTTTCAGGATGGCTAGGACTATAAAGAGAGACCTTGTCTTAAAAAAAAAAGTTGAAATTTTCATTACAGTCACGCAAGGCTGACTTTTAAAAGCACTTAAAACAATAAATGTGATAGGAGTACATAGAAACAAAGGTTACAGAAGGGCTGTTTCAGAGAGCAATTAGGCTTCAGTTTACCAGTGCTGTGGACTAAGATAGCCTCAACAGATACTTGACTTCTTTCTGAGTCCCGCCTCAACCACAACTGAAAGCTATACAACTCTAAAGTCTGTAAGACTTTCCATAGCAGTGGGCACACCTGAAAGATACACGTAAGTGGTAGCCGTGCAAAGAGAGACAGGGAGCAACTAAAGAACATTCTCCAGTCCCATGGATTTACCCACAACCTGTATGAAATGCTCACCACCCAAGGGGGAGCTCATTACAGGATCCTACATCTGGATGGGTCAGGTCTGTTCTCTCCTGCCAGACACTGGAGGTTGCTGGGACCACAGACAGACACAACACTCACAATTCTACCTGGTTTTTGCAGCAAGAGCAGCAGACACAGTGGCAGCCGCACCACTGACAACTGCAGCACTGTATCTAGCAGGAGGGGAGAAGGCAGAAAAGGTTCCAGAACCTTCTAGAGTCCTTGTAGAGCTGCTTACACTGATAAGGAAAGAAAGACAGAGGAAGAGGAAATGAAAGTAAGAAAAGGCAGCAGAATAAACACAAGTCAGCACCCCCTCTAGATTAGTATTAGACATAAAGGTGAGCCATTCATTTAAAAGTGTGACGGGTGTTCAGGCACTTACTCATTGTGTCCCCAATTCCAGACATTTAAACTAAATGTGTGAGCCTACTGAAGACAGACTATTTTTCACCAAGCACTCTAAAATGTCAGCTATGCTCCCTCCTATGACAAGTGCATCGATATTACATCACACATATGGGAAGAGTGACACATATACAACAACGTAGAAAGTGAATCTGAAAACAAAGACAGGGTTTCCACAAGCAGGGATAAGGAGATTTTCCTAAACAGGCTTTACATGAGAAGTGTTGTCTCGGAGTAGATGGACATCAAGGACATGGCATTTTAATGAGATGCCTACATGTTCAGAAGCAGCAACATTTATTAACATGAACAAGATATAACTTTAAAATAATCTAAGTTGAATTATTCTGGATGGTAAGAATCTTTTCAAAAATAAACAATAATTACAAGAATATATTATAACATTATACAATAATACAAATAATATAAATTACAAGAAAGTAAATAACAAAACATCACCTTCTTTGCAAGGTTCTCCATTTCTACTTTGAGTTAGCTCTGTAACATTTTTAAATGAGATAAAATTTCATATTCAGAAGAATTCTTATGACTTAAAGTATTTATTTTTTTCAAACAATAAAATATATGGTCAGGTATTTACATTCCAGCAATAGGAATGTACTCCTAAAATTGGTTATCAAATTTTAATTAAGTTTTTTTTTCATTTTAATCTAAACAAGATAGTCTAAAAAAAACATGATGTGGGATTTCCCTCTTATCTTCCTCTTTGGGTGTAAGTTACTAATAACATCACTGGGACACTATAACTACTTTTGTTTTACAAGTTTGTGACACGATGGCCACCTCCAACACATCATGAGCCAAATTCAACACAGGTTACAGTTGTAGGAAATTGTGAGGGAGGGCCTGAATCTACAATGTCTTCTAAAGAGTTTGGTAAGCACCCAACTCCACAGACATAACTTTATAAACCACTGCAAAAAAAGTGAATAAACTACAAGAAGTCAGTTTAACATATAACATAGAAATGTGATGTACACATTTGTAAGTAATCCATGAAATGGAACTGTGTGGCTAAGTTTGAACAACTTCTTTGAATCGTTAGAAAAAGAAGAATGGGGCCAGGAGAGAGAAAATAAAGATGCTTTTTCTGCAGAATGAGAAAGCGTGCTAAGATGAACAGTTACCTACTGATTTAATGTTTGTTTGGGATTCTGAATCACTCTTTCTTAGAGTCAGCAGTTGTCACTGGGGAAAACTGATGGTGAGTAATAAATAGAAACATGGTATAAAATAGTCAGCTAAAAATACATCAGCTAACCCATCCCGTAGTTGGGAGAAGAGGAAACTAATGAAGTTCCTCTATCCAATGATAAAAGGAATAATATGAAAGAATTATCAACGTCTTACAGGTAGCATCTTTCACCTCTATACTCTGAGAACATGTCTGGGATGTTTGAAACATGTCTCTCTTCTTTCAGAGGTGCACGATTGAATTTAAGAACAAACTTAAGCCAAACTCAGTTCATTTAGCAAATGACAAAGTGAATAAACAAGACACAGATTTTCTCATTCTATATTAGAAGTTAAAAACCAAACCAAAGCACACAAAGAATGTCAAAGTAGTGTAAAGCAGTGTTTTGAGGCTGAATATGTCTATCCATAATGACATCGGCTCCTTAATCCGTATCATGCTCTCATTTTCAGTGAGTTTACTATTTAGGTTTATCGCCAGCATTGAAATGGAGACAACTGAGAAGAAAAAAACTCTACCTAGAGTAAGTGGCTGTTACTTTAGAAACTGTGGCTATTTGATTACGAATATTTAACACCTGGGGAGTTGCAGGTGGGTGAGGTCCGCTCTTAAGTAGGTCTTCCAGAGAACTGTCAAACCTAGGTTTTCAGATGTGAAAAAGGACAAGGCAAAGGAAAGATTAACAAAAAGTTGAGACCATGTTCACTATGTCTATCGTTATTTAAATGTCAGTAATTTATATCTGGGATACTCCAGCTCAGTGGTTCTTAACCTGTGGGCCGTGACCTCCTTGGTCCTCTAACAACATGTTACAATCCAGAGCTAGTCAAATGTTATTGCCTAGGGAAGGATACATGATCAAAGAAATGACTAGGATTTGAAAACCATGCACATAGAATGTATT